TGATATTGCAATCCATGGTGATTGATAACGTGGCGGATGACATGGAGATAGACAAAATTGGTAACTCACACTTGGAAGATGGACTGATACACCAACACCATGGGTCACCACGTCAATACCGTGAAATGCATGTCACCACTGTGAACTTTCATGTCAGCATCATGAATTGTTATGTCAACGACAAAAAAGTTAGTCAAAGGGCCACATTGGATTTGTTTTTTTAGTTGAAGGGCTACATTCATAGAAAAAATAATACAATAGTCATTTTTTTTCACTAGTACATGAACCTCTAATTCCTTTTTACCTTTTTTTTTTGCTTTTCAGATTCGATAAAACCGGCCCTGAACTTTAACCTATGCTTGGCCAAACTTCAAGGTGAATGTTCCTTTTGTCTTTTCTTTTCTTTTCTTTTCTTTATGTTTTGTTTATTGTGTGCTTGGGGTGTGCAGGTGTTATGAAATGTGAGTGCAATTGTGGTAGGGCTAGATTGGGGCTCGGTTGTGTATATAGTTGTGGATGATGAATGGTAAGAGGTGGACCATGGTGATGGTCTCAACAATCGGATGGAAAGATGAAGGTACCCTCAGCAATGGTATTGACGGTGGATGTGTTAAGTGTTTTTGAATGATGGTGGTGCTACGATGAAGGTAGTTCTAGTCATACATTGCAGCTGGATAAAAAAAAAAGTCCACGTCAGCGAGCAGTTTATCACTTAACAGCTGAGTGACTTGATTTTTCAATGTCATTTACATAAGTGACCAGATTGTAAGCCTTAATACATGTGTGGCCAAATTCAAAGCCCCGTAATAGTTGGTGACCACAGGGTAGTATACCCTAAATATAAACAACACCTTGCAAGCCGGAAAGATTATACATCAGGAACCACAGATTAGGCTTCGGAAAAAAAAGAACCACACATTTGGTAGGTTTGTGTATTTCAAAATATCTTTTAAGGAGCATAACCATCTGCTGATAAAAGCAAATCAAGTTAAACAGATACAAAGCGAAAAAGCACATACAGTACCTCTCATTATTTGATTTCTTCCCCGAGAATAAGCTGCACCTGTATTTTGAAACTAGGAGCAAAGAACTTCATTATGTCTTCTAATCTTTCTCGTTCAGAGTTGTACCAAATTAAAACTATGAGTCAATTTAAAGGCTACAGAGAAATAGTAAAAATAATAATCCAACTATTAAGCAAGAAAAAGAATTGGGAAAGTTTTGCTCTAACCTCATAAGTCATATTTTCAAGATCGACAATATCTTGCCAAATGACCTGCATAACAAAGTTTTGCAACAATTTTTTGAACCATGGCATTAGCATCTAAAGCCTCTATAACCCTATAAGTAGTTATTCTTGAAAAAATATTTAAATTACTCAACATGTATAAAGCATTAAACCTTAGAAGTCTCGATTCATCTATACTAGATGCTTGTTGCAAGTAATCAACTAACTTATATCGTATGCTTAGCCTTGAGTCCAAGCAAAACACTTTATAAAGTCTATTTGTCGACCACATGGCCTTTTGGGCTTGTAAAAAAAAATGTGCACATATGTTCAACAAAGAAAGAGGGGGAGAGAGAGACCTGGTAATCCTGAGCATATTTGTTAGTTGTTGGTGTTTATGTTGATCTGAAAACTTAGTTAGTGACACGCGTAATTTATGATGTCAAAATAAATAGCTTTAATCCCAATAAAATGAATAAGAATAAGTAAAATAGTGAGAGTAAGGGTCAATCCACATGAACTAGGAGTTTGACGATTTCCTCCTTATGTTTACAAATCACCTCCTCCCCCTCCTCCGTATGTTTACAAATCACCTCCTCCCCCTCCATACGTCTACAAGTCTCCTCCTCCACCTCTGTATGAGTACTAGTCACCTCCTCCTCCTCCTTATGTTTACGAATCACCTCCTCCCCTCCATATGAGTACAAGTCACCTCCTCCTCCTCCTTATGTCTACAAATCACCTCCTCCCCCTCCATATGAGTACAAGTCACCACCACCTCCTCCATACGTCTACAAGTCACCTCCTCCTCCTCCATATGTTTACAAGTCACCTCCTCCTCCATATGTCTACAAGTCACCTCCATCTCCTCCATATGTTTATGAGTCACCACCTCCCCCTCCATACATGTATAAGTCTCCTCCTCCACCTCCATATGTGAACAAATCACCTCCTCCCCCTCCATACGAGTATAAGTCACCACCACCTCCATATGTGTACAAATCTCCTCCACCACCTTCTTATGAATACAAATCACCACCTCCTCCGTCATACATGTATAAGTCGCCGCCACCACCTCCATATGTTTAGACGTTACCACCACCACCTCCCCCATATTACAAGTAAACTCTGGTCTTCCCCTCCGTTAAAAGGTCGTCACCTTTGTCATCACCTCCATCTCCTCAAATTTTCAGGTCTCCTCCTCCACCATCTAGATTCCGTGCGACAACATATTACTACATTGGCATTTCCTTTACTTGCCTTACAGTCATTTGGTTTGTCTAAGATCGATGCATATGCTTGCTGTTGATGTAATAAGAGAAAGGCTAGCCTCTACTACCTAAAGCAATCACTACTTGGTTTTCAGTAAACCCTAGTGATTACTTAGGGTTGGGGTTTGATTGTGTTCTCAATCAACTTTAATTTATATTAATGATTTATGCTTTCTTGTTTTGTTTTATCGATTTATACCAAACTAGTATTTGTATTTTTGCGTAAGATCACCTGTCGAAGCTAAATCACCCCAACAATTTGCTCGTCGCCATCCCGACAGTGAATTACAAATGGTTTTTGGTACCAGCATCTTTTCTTTTTTTCCCCTTATTAAGACACTGAAACATCTTTCTTTACCGAGTTTTGGTTAACCATGTCTTCTTCTTCTTCTACTTGCTTGCCTCAACAAGCTCTGAAAGTAGGCATAGTGGGTTTCGGCACATTCGGGTAGTTCCTGGCCAGGACAATGATCAAACAAGGCCATACTCTAAGGGCTACTTCTCGAACTGATTATTCCCATATCTGCCATCAATTGGGTATTTCCTTCTTCAGGTAGAGTTTATCCGCCCAACTTTCTTTTACACCTATATAAACGGATATTGATTTTTGTAAAAAAAAAAATTGCAATTTTTAGGGACGTAATTGCATTTCTTGAAGCAGATAATGATGTGATACTGATAGCCACGTCAATTCTGTCGCTATCGGAAGTGCTCCGGTCAATGCCTTTACATTCCTTTAAACGCCGGACACTGTTCGTCGATGTGCTTTCTGTCAAAGAGCACCCCAGAAACGTTCTATTGCAAGTGTGATACTATGCTTTTTCCTTCAATCCTTGGTCATTTCTTTTGCCCAGCTTGAAAATGGTGGGGTTTTTTTTTTTTTTTGCAGGTTTTGCCGGAGGAGATGGATGTTCTCTGCACTCCTCCAATGTTTGGACCTGAAAGTTGCAAAAATGGGTGGAAAGATCTTCCTATTGTTTTCGAGAAAGTTCGGGTGAGGGATGAACCCAGATGCTCAAACTTCTTACAAAGCTTTGAATCTGAGGTAAATGGAAATCAAATCCTTGGAATTTTAATGCAATTTACTGATTGGTAGCACTGAGTTGAGAATTTTTTTAATTAATTTCCTGGCAAAAAGGGTTGCAGAATGGTGGAAATGTCTTGTGAAGAACATGACAAACCGGCTGCTAGAAGTCGGTTTCTTACCCGTACTGTAGGCAGGTATGTTCAGATGAACCTTTACTTTGAAATCGCAGATAAATCTTAAGATTCAAACCTCGGTTTAAGCAAGTTGCTTTGACAGGATTTTGTTAGAAATGGGAATCGAGTCGACATCTATGAACACGAAAAGCTTTGAAACACTAGTTAAATTGGTAAGTTCACAATGAGTTGTCTCAAAGTATTGCAATTTACCTTTCTTTGAAAGAGAACTGGGAACAAGAATAGCTAAAGGGATGAAGTAATATGATATTGAAGGCAGAAAGAGAGCATGGCCACTGCTAGTTTCGATCTGTTCGACGGATTATTCATCCATAGCAGATTTACTCAACAAGAGGTATGTAATGTAACCAACCAAAAGCAAGCATCAGCTCTTTCTACTAACAAATTTTGAAACGCTAACGTTGTCTACAATTATGCGGTTGATGAACTTAGAGCATTCTTTTCAAATGGCCAAACAGAGACTGGAAGAACAAAATCCTAGCAAGGTCTGACTACTTCATGGACTCTTGCTAACAGAAATCCTTCTAGTAATTCTCAACTCAGTATACAATCTTTTTTTTATCCATTTCTAATGTTTAAATGCATTCCTAGACTGTAATAATAAGCCAAGCAAGCCACATGATATTGGTGAAAGTTGATAAATGAAAAAATGTATGTGGCTTCGCAAGACAAAGTCCTTGGTGCTTAAGTATACATCAAGCAAATTGATATACAGAAGAGTTCTTAAGCCAATATATCATCTTGTTCATTTCATTTGAGAAAAGGTCACAAAATCGAGAATGCTGTTGTTCATTCTCCAGTTTGAATACTCACGAACTCTTGCCTTCTGTGTTATATTTTTATTGAGGTACTATGGTTGAGCATTAATACTCGACAAGAAGAAAACAAAAATTATGCTCATGGTATTAATCATTTATTATACTTTATTGCTTAAAGTACAAGAAAGGTACAACACAATTTGAAAAGAAAAAATCAACAAACGATACACATCTTCAAGCTCTCTTATTCTTCTTAATGATAAATTGAAAGTCAACAAATTCATGAGAAACGTTGTAAAACGGTCGAAAAGAGAAATCATCGGCTTAATAAATCTTTGGAGGTGGTGGAGATTTGTAAAGATACTTTGGGTGTGGCGATGAAGGAGCCTTGGGATGTGAGGGATAGGGTTTAGGATGAGAGGGTTGGGGATGGGGATAAGGTTTGGGATGTGAAGGAGGTGTAGGGGACTTGTAGGCATAAGGAGGAGGTGGGGAGTGTACCGGTGGTGGAGGAGATTTGTAAACATAGGGAGGAGGCGGGGAGTGGACTGGTGGTGGAGGAGATTTGTAAATGTAGGGAGGAGGTGGTGAGTGCACTGGAGGTGGAGGAGACTTGTAAACATAAGGAGGAGGCGGGGAGTGAACTGGCGGTGGAGGAGACTTGTAAATATAGGGAGGTGATGGGGAGTGGACTGGTGGTGGAGGAGACTTGTAAACATAGGGAGGAGGTGGGGAGTGGACTGGTGGTGGTGGAGACTTGTAAATGTAGGGAGGAAGTGGGGAGTGGACTGGAGGTGGTGGAGACTTGTAAATATAGGGAGGAGGAGGTGAGTGAACTGGAGGTGGTGGGGAGTGGACTGGTGGAGGAGGTGACTTGTAAATGTATGGAGGAGGCGGTGAGTGGACTGGAGGTGGTGGGGATTTGTAAATGTAAGGGGGAGGTGGAGAGTGGACTGGAGGTGGAGGAGACTTATAGATATAAGGAGGAGGTGGGGAGTGGACTGGAGGTGGTGGAGACTTATAGACATAGGGAGGTGGTGGAGAATGGACTGGTGGTGGTGGAGATTTGTAGACATACGGTGGAGGAGGAGAGTGAACCGGGGGTGGAGGAGATTTGTAAATGTAATGTGGAGGAGGTGGTGAGTATTCGGGCGGTGGTGGAGATTTATAATGGTAGTGTGGATTTGGAGTTTTCACCGGAGGAGGGGGAGACTTGTAATGATAAGGTGGTGGTGGAGGAGATGCATACTTGTAAGGGGTAGAGGTGGCTACCACAGTCGAAATTAAGAGACAAAATCCCAAGGCATAAACCAGCCCTGGCTGTCCCATTGCTACAACTTAAACTCTAAAACCTGAAAATAGATGTAAGAAGTATTGGTTGGTGGTGATATTTGCAGCTACACCTTCCCCTTTTATAGTAATCGATCACCCTCAATAATGTCTAAATCATTTAATATAACACATAACAGGCTGGATTAATTTTTTTTAATAAAATGCTTTGATCACCCAATGATGTTTTCCCACTACCTATAGGCAGCCCATGTTAATTTATGATTTTTGAAGAGAAAGTTAAAGAATACGGTGCTTAATTTCTATTTCTATTTTTATAACCCAAATTCAATCATTCATATGCTTTCGAAACCTACTTTTTAATTTGACATATATTAAAAATTGTTCTATTAAAATCTATTTTTGACTTTTAGTAAAAGTATTTTTATTAATTAAACAATAATTAATTTGAATTATAAATGAATTTATCTAAATGAAACCATAAATTAACATGCAATGAAAGATCATGTCTGATCGTGTAATCCATAAACAAACAAATTGCTTGCCTGTTTTGTCGGAATTTAAAATTCACCGATTCTAATCATGAGAGAAGATTCACATTTGAGAAACTTAAGAGAATTAAATAATCATATTGTCAAAGCTCGGCTTTTCTTTCACACTACATCTAAAGGGGGAAAAAACATCCATATGTATGTATATATTAACATTAATTTTTTTAAACTCTACATTAAAATGGCATAATTAATATTTTTAAGTTTTCCCCAAAATAGTAAATGATACGATTTTTTTCATATATATCATAGAAAATTGAATATATTCTCTTAATTTGCAAGACAGAATCTAACATATTATGTAATCTCCTAGACCCGGCCTATGCGTTTCGACTAAGTCTAATGGCTCACATTCATAATTCTTAAAGACATTTTCCAAAACCGTTATTCAATCAACGAAAAATCACATTATAAATAATAACTCAATTCATAAATATAACATTAAAAAGTAACAAGTTAATTTAAAACATGTCTTACAAAAATCCAAATTACGATAAACCGAATATAAATAGCAAAAAAGTAATCATTATAAAATCCAATACTTTAAAAAAAGGCCCATGTTATCAAAATAAAGTCAACTTAAAAGATAAAAACATTACAATCAGATATACTTCGAGAGATATGTTGATCCTCCAAGTGTTCGATCAGGGGTATCTAACCAACAGTATCTGAAAGGGGAAAACATTTACGAAAAAGTGAGATAGGCTCAGCGTGTCCCAACATTACTATAAAATTATGATAGGTATACTAAACAAGTCATAGTCCAGTAAATCTCATAAAATCATACTACAGTAAATCTCATAAAAGAGTCACCCTAAGGGAACATCTTAGGGCCTGAGAGCCTACCCAAGATAGATTTTGGGGTCAAGGGGCCTACCTAAGAACACATCTTAGGGCCGCAAGGCCTACCCGAGAATGATCTCAGGGCCGCAGAGCCTACCTTAGAGTTATATTAGGTCCATAAAAATTTTCCAGCTTGATCATAGTTGTACTTTATAAATCCGTATCAAAAATACAATTGCACCGTGACATAAATTCCATAAATCCATAAACATGGTAATCATATACTCGTGAAAACCAAAAATCAGATAGTAGTCATAATCCATAAACCATCACATTAAATCGGTGCATCAATAAAACAGTAACCAAAGAATTCATTGTACCACATGTTGAAACAAATAAAACAGTTCAGTAATAAATAGAGAACACACCTAGATAATATGTTCAAATAGTAGATCTAGTGATTGCTTGCCTCGCCACGCTCTGCTACAGTTTTCGAACCTAATTCATAATAACACTATATTACTAATGGGTAACATAATTAATTTCTGAAATCATAAAATTTACGGGTCATACGGGTGAATACTGGCACACGTAGTTTAACTGATCTAGAGGAGCTGGGTCGAGCTGTCGAACGATCAGGAGAGTCTCTTGTACCTTCAAACAATAATAATTTATCAGTCTCAGTCTTACTTAATTATTCAAAGCTAAAACTCTTAAGTATATATGCATTTTTCGGGTTTGACTATCAATTTGGAGGCTTTCGAGCCTAAATTTGACCAAACGGAATGTGAAATCGAAATCAGGACGTCAAAAAACAAAAAGTATGACTTTTCGAAAATTTGAATTCTTGGTCAAAGTCAAAGTCAACGGGTTTGATTGATGATTTGGAGGCCTTCAGGTTCGAATTTGGCAAAACAAACTTCGGAAACGGATTCGAGACGTCGAAAAATCTCAGAATAGATATACCCGAACAAAATCAACGGCCGTTTAATGGCCGGTTAAAGCCGGACAAAGTTATGGTCAACGGTGCTCAATAGTCAACGGTCAACTTTTACAAAAAATAGCACCCTAAAAGAAATTAATTACAAAACTAACACCCTTTTAAAAATGTTTACTAAAATAGCACCCTTTTAAAAATATTTTTAAAAATAGCACCATTTTAAAAATATTTACGAAAATAGCACTCGGTTCGGGTCGGGTTCAGACCGATCAAGCCGTTCAGATAATGACAACCATCAATTCGCTGCTCCCCCACGCGTTGGGGCGCTTGAGGCCTCATCCGGTCTCCAAAAATTCCTAAAAAAAAGTCCTAAAATTATTTTAAGCAATTTCAATACACTTACCAAGCTCGGTTCAAATTTTTGAACGGTGGAGAGCTCAATTTTAACTCGGTTGAAACTTTGACCGCTTCACCTCCCTCACGTGCCGCCACCTACGGAGACAAGGAGGAAACCGGCGAACTCGGAACAGCACAAGGAACACGATAGTGCGGGAGGTGTCAAAAACGGATCAACGATCAGAGATGAATTTAAGATTTTCTCAGCGGTGGTGCTAAAACAACGTCGAGACTTTGACTCGAAATTCACGGCTTTTGGCAGCGTTTCGCTATAATTGGTTTACTAGGTTTTGTTCACGGGTCAAAGATGAACACGATGGTGGTTTCAATTTGACGATCGGAGTTCGGACGGCGTCGGAATCGGGCTTGAAAGTAGGGGTGCGGGATAAAGAAATTTGAGTAATTACTTCTGTGTTTTCTGATTTCAAAATCAGAAAACACGTTTATAAAACAAAACCTGTCGACACTCCTTGGAGGAATTCAGGTCTTGGTCCCTGAATTTCCTTCAACTTCTAAAATGACTTATAAGTTTTCAAAACTTTTAATTTAGTCACCAAATTACACCAATATAAATATATATTTTTCTCAGTTTTCCGGGTTGTTACAATTCTCCCCCTCTACAAGAAATTTCATCCTCGAAATTTAACTTATGAGAATAGTTGAGGAAACTGAGTCTCCATTGACTCCAATGTCTCCCAAGTAGCTTTAGAGGGGCCTCGGTTACTCCATTGGGATACGCCTATTCCGAAGAACTCGTTCATCTCTTTCTAAGATCTGAATGGGCTCATCCTCATATGACAAATCAGGTCTCAGCTCTACCTCCTCAATCTGAATAATATAACCTGGATTTGGACGGTATCGCCTTAACATTGATACATGAAATACGTCATGAATACGACTGAGCTGGGAAGGCAACTCAAGCTGATATGCAACAGGTCCTACCCTCTTCAATATACAAAATGGTCCAATAAATCTTGGACTCAATTTACCCTTACGCCCGAATCTCAATACTTTCTTTCATGGTGATACTTTTAAAAAGACCTGATCTCTAACCTCAAACTGTATATCTTTCCTCCTTTGATTTGCATAAAACTTATGCCTATCAAATGCCTCTTTTAAACGGTCACGGATCAATCTAATTGTGTCTTTCGTTTCTCGCACTAACTCAGGTCCCAACATCTTCCTATCACGCAACTTAGTCCAACAAATCGGGGTACGACATCTACGCCCATAGAGTGCTTAATAGGGTGCCATACGAATGCTGGTCTGGTAACTGTTATTATAAGCAAATTCAGCCAAAGACAAAAAGTTCTCCCAGCTACCACAAAACCCCGCAACATATCCTCCAAAATCTGAATCACTCTCTCAGATTGACCATCAGTTTGTGGGTGGAAGGATGTACTATAATCCAATCTTGCTCCCAAAGCCGTATGTAGCGCCTTCCAAAATCTCGAAGTAAATCTCGGATCTCGATCAGAAATAATAGACAATGGAACATCATGCAATCTGACAATCTCCGAAATATACAATCTCCTCAGCTTGTCCAAAGTATAATTTACCCGCACAGGAATGAAGTGAGTTGACTTTGTAAGTTTGTCAACAATCACCCAAACTGAATCCTTTTCCGAATGAGTCATAGGTAAGCCAGTAACAAAATCCATAGTAATACACTCACATTTCCACTCAGTAATCTTGATAGACTGTAACAAACCTGGTGGATGTTGATGTTCTATCTTAACTTGCTGACAAGTCAAACACCTATCCACAAAATCCGAGATATCTTTCTTCATGCCAACCCAATGATACCTCTCTCTTAAATTCCAATACATCTTATCTCCACCGGGGTGCATAGCATATGGACTACTGTGAGCCTCATTAAGAATAATCTGTTTCAACTCAGCATCATCAGGCACGCAATATCGACCCTTAAAGCATAAAACTTCATCTTGATCAAGGGCATAATTTGTGCTTACCCCTGCTCTACTTGCTCAAAGATGGATAACAAGGAGCTATCAAGGGGATGCTTAGCTTTAATTTCATCAACCAAAGTCGGCTTAACTTGTAATTCTGCTAACAAAGTGTCATCGTCATATAAATTCATTCTGGTCATTAAAGACCTCAACTCCGTTACCGCCTTTCGACTCAAAGCATCTGCTACAATGTTAGCTTTACCAGGGTGATAATCAATCATACAATCATAATCCTTTAGAAGCTCTAGCCAGCACCATTGTCTCAAATTAAGCTCCTTCTGGGTCAGAAGATACTTTAAGCTCTTATGATCAGTAAAAATGTAACACTTTTCTCTATAAATATAGTGTCTCCAGATCTTCAAGGCAAATATCACTGCTGCTAGCTCTAAATCATGGGTCATATAATTACACTCATGTGGTCGTAGCTGACGATATGCATAAGCCACCACCTTACCCTCCTGCATT